TCTGCAGTCGTGTTGTTCCATCTGAGCGGTAAAGTGCCTCATTGGCATTCAGGAAAACACACACCCATGTCATTATCTGTAACAAGGTGTACGAGGGCTCTGTGGAACTGTCTGTTCATAAGAAATATTAGTAAATTATTAATTGACACGGATCAACATTTCCTGCTGAGGCATTTGTTTGTTCTCTGGAGCTAAATGGCAGCGTGGTTCAAAGACGCACATCTAAATCTCATTCATTTAAAAAGCCTCATTAATCAGTTATGATCAAAAGCTATTGAGTGGCACAGTGTAACTGCTATTGCTGCTTAAACACCAATTTGAGTAGATAATGAAGTGTTATTGTGCAGGAGAGGGTTGTGAAGGTTTAAACTTTGGAGTGAATGGACTTTCCATCTGCCTGAGTTCTGCTCTCAGTCCCTGGTTGTTACCATGTTTTTTCCCATGAGTTCAAATCAATGGAAGTTTTCAGCGTCCACAAGCACTGCTGATCTTTGAGTCGGCTATAAGACAACGGCTAACTGGAACCAATATTATTTATGATATAAACAAAGACAATACCAACCTCGAACTTTACTACAAACCTTTCATGACTACAGTTTTTTTCCGTCACCAAACAACATGTCGCTCTGAAACCACCTAGTTAAACACGCACAGTCTAATAAAGGGTTTTGTTTGACAGGTATATTTATACATAAATAGACTATACTCACAAGTGGGTTTCAGAATTATGTGTTGTACATCCCCACAGAATGTATAAGCCTTACATCGATATATATTGGATTTTTGTTTTACTGCTATTGATGAAAATTCTATTGCAATATGTATTGATGTTATTTTTGCAAATCCTCCAAATGCTCAAACATTTGAATCGACGTAATAAAACATTGGCCCCTTGATTTATTGCAGAACTGCTGTGTTAGTTTCTGTGTCTAATCTGCCAACTATGACCATAAAGCTTGATGTTGAAATACTTTAAAGTCCGTTTTTCTTCTGCCTCTCTGCGTTGTTGACGTCCTCATCTGTTACAGTTTCAGCTTTGAGGAATATTTTTCACTGTCACTGCACTTTTTTTCAACTGCTCCTCTGCCTTTTAATCCCACTGTCACTGTTTCATTTCCTCAGGCTCTCCAGGGCTTTAGAAATTTTTAATTTAGCTTGAAACTTTGTGAGTAATAACTTAATTATTTGTACAAAGATTCTTTAACTGTGCTGTATTTCACAGCTTGGGATTTTATTTTTTTTTTAACAATCTTTGTCTTCGTCTGGGCTTTGGATCTCGGTGCTGTGATAGACATCACTGTTAGCCCTCATCCACCTTATCAGGTTATACTTCTCACACATCCACACTGTATCTACTTTGCTAAGCTAAGCTTCACTCAAAAACACGTAGCTCAACCTGTACTTAGCACCCTGTCCGACATTTATGAGAAACACGACTCCTGAGCAGTCGGAGCGATCTAGACACGCTGACACCGTGTGAACAAGGGGACCAACGTGCTGGAATTTTCTTTTATTCCCTTCAGTTTTTAACCCCTGTCTGCCTGTATCCTTTCTCAGAGCTCGCCCGCCGATTCCCACTGAGCATGTGCAAGGCATGCGTGTCAAAATAGCAGCACTGAGGGATTGAACAGATTCACCTTTTCTCAAGTTCACATTGGTGGCAGCACAGGGTGAGTTGTGGGAGTTTTTTTGGCACGCCGGAGCACTGGGAGTTCTCGGGTTTCGGCTGGAGGCTGCATCGGGCGCGTACACTAATGCACCTGCCGCTGTCTGTTAAGACGCGCAGAGGCCGACCGCTTGAACTAGGCAGCAGGGCGAGAAAGGAAAGCAGGTTGAGGGGTCTTTTGAAGAGCAGTGTCACAGTCAGCAGTGCCACTGGTTGTTTCAAGTAAACTCTGTGTTGCGTTCTTTTGTTTGTCAGGACAAAGAAGTGTTGGTTCTGCAGGATCCAGAGGGTGTAGTAGTAAGGATGGGTGGGGTCGGGTTGGGAGAGGGCAGCGTCAAGTTGCCGCTCTACACTTGGATGGTTGGTAAAGCAGCCACCCAACCCTGTCTTACCTCCTCCTGCCGCCAGCCAGGGCCCTATACATAGTACTGATGCTGCTCCTTAGCTGTCTAGCAGATGGTCTCACTGCTGCTGTGAGGATCACTTTGCCTCAGATTCACCAGATTCCCTGGCTGGGGATCAAGTCAGGGGTGCAGAGGGTGACAGAAAGTGTCTTGGCCGCGAGTGCACACAACCATTTCATTAGTTTCTGAGATCTGATCACAGGGATTGGAAATTTATGAGACAAATCCACTATGTATCCACTCTCAACATCAAACTGTCCCGTAAACAGTGTCTCCTGAGGCTGTATTTATTTACTTAGAAGGATGTTGGCACTGTCATCCATTCTGCTCCTCCGCCCTTCGCCTCACAGCGCTCAGATGACTGGATGACATCCAGTCTGTGTCATGTTTTGATCCCCGGTGCAACTCTGACCACTTCTGGTTCTGAAGTTGCATTATCAAAGTGAGGGGAAAAAATTAACTATCGTGCGTCTGCAGCTTTTTCAGTATGGTTTCACATTTTCAAATTACTTATTATAATATGGTGCTTATCGTTACCTATCTTGTATTGAAGCAGTTTAGACTCACAAGTTAGACTGAATTACTGCTTTAGAAGATTTATTCTGAGATTTTTATGAAATTGGTCACTTTAATATCCTCGTTTTGCACTAATATTCACCCATTGGCTTTACATACACAGCCAGACGTGGTTTATCTGTGAAGTAATGGATGCAATGCCCTGTTGGTTTCATAAGGCCACCAGAATTCCAAACAGCTGAAAATAAAGAGGAGTATTTACTCGATTTTAAAGAGGTGACAAGTCCGCGGTCATCCCGTGGCCATATTGAGTTTCCCTGTCTGTATAGCCTGAAACAACGAGCGGTGTTCCCTCCATCACACAACTACCAGGAAAAGCTGCAGCTGGGATTCAGAGCGAGCTTTAATGCTTTCTGTAATCAGTAATCACCTCCCTGAAGCCCAAAGTTGCATTGTGGGGTATTTAAAACGCTGCCTCTATGGACTGTTGTGCCAGCTCAGCTCCTCATTCACCACGCCAGTATACTCACTGTGCGTTATTTTATCCATTAACTGTGATTTTTTTTTTTTATTGCCCTGCAACACAAACTAACCAGAATAAACTCCATCTATAATAAAAGGTTGTTGATCTGAGCCAAATATTCAAGAACTCTTTCATTGGAGCTGCTCTGATCAGCATCTGTAACCAATGAACTGCTTTATAAATCACTAAATGCTTTTATAATCTTATTGTGTTGATTCATCAATTTCGTGACGTGTTTTTCTCTTGAGGCAGCGTTTCTGAGGGATTATATTGAATACATATCTGAGGTAGACATGACTGAAGAGTTTGTTCACTTACGGTAACATACAATACAACCAGTGTTTCCCATTCATTTTATAGACTGTGACAGGCTGCCATATTCCAATCTGTCCTGCCAGCTTCATAATGAACAATAATTTGTTTTTACATTGTTCAGAATAACATTAGAGAGATTTTTCTCCTTTGCTTGCACTACTATCCATAAAGTTTTTACTGTCCACACTACAGTCAAACCACATAGCCTGGCTTTATCTTTTGTGTACCTGTCACTCGGAATCTGTTGCAAGTAAGAAAGACATTTGTGCTTCTGCGTCACTGGGACCAACGTAGATTATTATCTATATTTTCATTTGTTCGAGGTTTTTAAATTTTGTTTGTTGGATTTCACCAATACAGCTTTGTAATGCTTTAATTCATTCAAAGTGTGTTGCATTGTTGTGTTGCCTCCCACATTGTATAAACCAGAGTGTGGATCTAATTTGTGGTGCAGTGCCAACATGAACTGGAGCATCTTCAAAAGCTATGAAACAAAGAGACTGACTTCTGACATTGTATGTTTGATGTCTCAAATAAAAAATATACTTTAATCCCCAGAATTCTTTGTCTGGTACAAGAGCTGGTAGTGAATGCTTTCTCATGCAGAAAAATATCAATGGGGTACATCGACAGACTGAAAAATCCTATTAATTTATTGTCCTCACACAGGGGCGCTGTCTATGCGATGTTCTGGTTTTGTTTTTTGAGTCTTTGTTGGAAATATCATCAGGGTCTGTTATCTTGCCTCCCGATTCTGTGGGTGCTGTGCCGCCTGTTTCTAAATCTATTGAATTAATACTGCCGTGAAGGAGGTGGGAGCCAAAACCATGGCAACCATCAGCTCAGATTAGTGTGGGACGTGAGCTGGCAGGAGACGTGCACACACCACACACACTCACACTCACTACACACACTCAAACAAATCGATATCTCTGCGTGTGATGCCAAATAGAGGCCGACCCTCTCCATCCCGACAGATACAGATGTTCATTTATTGGCTGCACTGATTGAATCGAGGTCTGCCTCTCTCCCACACAGATACTAAAGCCTGTAGAACAGATTTAGAAATGATATTACTCAACTCACTGCTATTGATCAATGTAGTTTTTGTTGTACTTCTTTCAGCCTCTGTTGTGTTTGTGTAGATTTAATTTGACAACAGGGGAATTCCTCGTTTGATTTCTTTTCATTGTTTATTTATCTGCTGGAACATTTTCGTTTGCAATGTGTCTCGTAAATATCTCGTCTATCTTCGTATACTGGGTCCAGGTTTTTATTTATTTTTTAGTTCATCAAAACTAGACTAGAGACACTTACTAGAGCACATACCTCCACCAAGGCCCAACAGTCCCCTTTCAAAACCACATTTGCTGCTAAACCCACATTTGGATATGCACCAAATTGAATGGATTCATAAATATCAGTCTAAACATGCCTGTTTGTTTTCATAAATGATCCACAGGGAAATCTGTGTAAATGTAAAAAAAAAAAAAAAAAGCAGTGTTGTCGTCCTGTCTTGTTTATTTCGAACACTGTTGATTATGCTTGGCATTAATTCTCACCTCTCCTCTGGCAGGACGATGAGGTGGTGCTGCAGAGTGTGGCCACCATTCAGAAGGAACATTGCAAGTTCTGCCTGGCCGCTGAGGGACTCGGAAACCGTCTCTGTTACCTGGAATCCACTTCGGAAGCTAAGGTAAGTACAGCGAGGGGTTTTGTTTATCATCGGTTATTTGTTGTATTATGAAGAAATGACAAGTCAGTGGAAGTTTGGCGTGAAACGGGCTGTATGACCTTTAACCTAGGGCAGAACTCTGGAGACGTTTGCCTTTGACAACTGGTGCTGACCACTCTTTTAAGATGAAAATTACTTTTTTTTCCGTACTTTTGTTTTTTTTACATGTTGGCACAGTGGTCGTCAAACTTTTTTGTTATTGTAACCGTACAGCTCTGATAGATGAGTTCAATATTTAGGTCTGTTTGGTTCAATTTGCTTTTTACATTGGTGGTAGATCAAGGATGATGTTAATTCTACAAAAACTTCTGTCTGAGCTGTATTAGTGTGTGTTATGTTACCTTAATTAATTAGCTCTTCCAGTAATTGGATCCTCCAACAATTAACATGGAGCACCCATCCTCATTTGCATATTTAAATATGGTGCAAAAAACAATATTGCATTCAAATAAAATCCTCAGTCCAGTTTTGCTCCTCCTGATAAAAGAGTGTAAATCAAAGAGACACTTGAGATGTCTTAACCTTTACCCCCTTCTCCTTCCAACCCCCTCTCAGTGAGACGAGCTGTCCTGTCAAATAATGGGGTGAATTAAAAAATGCAGATTCTCTTCAGGTTCTGTGGTTTCAACTACAGCTAATTAGATTTTAAAAAAGCGAACACACACAATCTCAAAATGAGAAGAAGAAAAACACTCACTGCTGCAGCGATCTGGGCTCAGTTCCGGCTGTGGTGCTTCCAGCTTGGCCACAATCCCAAAAAACACAACTGACAGTTTTTATGGGGTCAGTTGAGGATATTGCACTTGTTTCTGCACCAGTGCAGCGCAATGGTTGGTTATGGAGCCAGGACAGACAAAAAACAACAACAACAAACGTGATGTATGAAGTGAGGTTGCGATGCTGCGGTTATTGCTGCTTCTCACTGTGACTGAGTGATGTGAATTTGCTGTTTCTGGTAGTGCATCAACACTATAGGGCTGTCGGTGCTGAGTTACACGTCTCATTAATCCTCCTTTTGACAAGGACTGTGTGTTCTCTACAAAACAAGACGTTAAAATGATGCAGATAATTCTGGCTCTAGAGAAAATATGTCGGAACACAGTGGTTTTATATCATGTGCATCATCGGTCACGATGATGGCCATCGCTTGTTTACAGTCAGTTATGGGACAGAAAATGCAGCACATGTGCATTCTGAGAAGGTGCTCACCATTTTAATTTTGGCTTCACACTTACTTTACATGTCAGAGTGACGATCACATGATCACAACTCTCCTCGTTTTATGAGCTGTGCATATCACGTAAAGCCTGATTTGACTCGGCCGCTGAGCAATAGGACTGTAAATAAAATCAAGGGACGTGCCGGCATGTTATTGCTCACCCACCTGGAACTGTTGTTCAGCTGGAAGGGCAACAACCTGCAGAGCTCCACAGACAGCCCGTCATAAACACCTCTCTCCTCTCACCTTGGTGCCGGTGACAATGCTTTTGGGCCTCTTTGGGCGTGAAATGTGACTGAGTGTGGAGGGTGACAGCTGTGGTTTGGCACGAGGGGAGGGGCTGTCATCTGCTGGCTGATCTCAGGTGCAGACGCCTCATTTCCCGGACTCTAATGAAGCTCGACTCAATGACGCTGCCGGAGGTCAAGAGAAATAACAGCGAAGTTTAACAGGGAGTCATTAGATCCAATTAAAAGAAGAGTTCTGAGACTGAGATTGTAAATTGAAAGTTTGCATTGTTGCATATGTGACGTACTACAATGGCGTCCATTGTGTCATCCTTCTTTCCTGTGAGCACAGTAACATATCTACTACTGAGGACTGTTAAACATCTTGCTGCATGGATTATTATCCTTGTTATCATAACTGATTATATTTCATATATTGTTTTGATTATTATTGTTGATATTTTATATATTATTGGATAAAGATTATATATTTTTGTTGATGTCAGAATAGGCACTGTCATTTTTTGAAGGAAAGTCACAAAGCTGTAAAAATAGTATATTTCTCGTGGACTTTTTTCAGCTGCAGATTATGTTGTAGTTACAGAAGCAGGATGTACATAGGGGGACAATGAACTACAGTGTCCGTGTTCAACGTAATGAGGGAACATCGCCACTCTGTGTAATGGTTTGGTTCACTAATGTGTTTTTAATAGTGGAACTCTATGGCACAGAGGTATGAGGCTTTCAGGCTTATAGCTTCACAGACAATGCATGGTAGCAGCTTTCTTCATTGGTTTTGGTCTTTTAATGAAATAATAAAAAATCCAGGTTGTTAAATAAAACAGTTCGATCTACTGAAGCATCGTTTTACCAAATTGTACAACTCATATCATTGTATTGCCTCAAGATCCCTGTGGATGATTGAAAAATTTTACTTTCTTAAAGGTTGATTTGACGACAAAGACGATTTTCTTTTTATTACCAAATGTTTAGTATGCCTTCGCAACACTAGAAGAAGTATGTTAATTGGAAAATTGGCTGTAAATAATTCATAAGAGGTGTTAGGTCTGCAGCAGCAGTTTGCAAATTATCACTGTAGAAGGTGGGAGGCCATCGTAGGTGTAGCTGCATCGTGACGTGTTGAAGGCAAAAGTAAATATCTAACTTTTCTCTAGTTTTGTGATGAGATTATTAGATTTTAGTGCCAATAGCCTATGATTAATGTGTTTAGTGTAATATAATAAATATTGTTTGATATTATTTTGTCTGTTTTCATGAGATTTAATGGATTTGTTTGTCACTGAAAACATCTTATTTGGGCGTTTAAGTGGGAAGCATTTACGTGCAGACTGTTGGTTACATCAGACAGACATGGTCATACACACACACACATACACATACTGGTGCTGAAAGTTCCCATGCATGTGTTGAGTTACAGAGTAGCGCCATTCTCATTATCACCCAGCAGCTCTCCCCCTCTCCTCACATTTCTCACTTCACTGCAGAGTTCAAGGGACGGCCGTTGTTATTGAGTCAGGCGCTCAGAACCTTAAATCATTCCTCCTCTGTGTTGGGGAGAGATGGATAATGATGCATGTGAAGTATTTGAGATAAATATTATTGAATGTTTACTAAATAATAATAGGATGGCATAAAGATATGAGCGTAGGGATGTGAACTGATACGAGGGTGTGAGAGACACTCCTTTACATGTTGTTGACATGTCAGCGGTGTAATGTTAATCAACAGTGCCATCTAGCACAACAAGACGTAAATTAATTTTCTCACTTTGACAAGCAGATGCAATTAATGTCTGCTCCTGCATTGTTTGTAAATGGAACATAATTTAGAAGCGTTTTGTAATCGACCTTCTTCTGGCAACACAAATGTTTACAAATGATCATCTCCAAGTCACAGTAACATACACCCTCACGCTGCACCGTCCCTGGTTTCGACATTCTCCGATCACTGAATAATTTATGATCATTAAATGTATTGAATTTTAGAAGATTTACAGACAAATTGGAAGACAGACCTGCAGCCTATTATAGCAGAGAGCCAAACAACCCTGTTTGCTGAGGAATAAAACATGAGCAGATTAATTATTGGTCAGTGGAGCCACAGGCTGCACACCTTCCCACAGCTCTCCTCATAATCCCCAGCCACTTGTTAGCACCAGGATGGCGGGGAAGTTGAGGTCATCAGAATTATTTATGAGCACCACTCATCACTGAGCTGTTTAATCATTTCACTTGGTTTCTGGTCTCAGATCAGGGCCTGCAATTAATTCCATAGCCAATTGCTGCTATGGAAATATTTATTCAATGTGAGAATGGAGATAAAATGTTGATGCTTATGCTGCGTGGTGCATTTATTTAAATAAATCAACACAGTTTAACAGTGCTGCTCTCTGTTGTTATTAAGTCAATAAATTTTTTTAAGATGAATAAAGATAAATACATCCCTGCAGACATTTTAGAAGATTAACATGTAAATATAGTATTTGAGCACTAAAATGAAAGCAATGTGTAGTCAGGAGTGTTTCAAGGGATTATGGGGGCTGTGGGATGTGTAATGAGCCATTCTCTGGGGGCCCCTGTCACCTCGGGCCCCAGGCAATTTCTTTGTGAACTCATTTCAAAATGTTTTACATTTGATATTTCTTTAATGAGCCTTCATAGGCCTCAGTAGTGACACTGTGATTAATGTAAGTCACCACCTACACACATCACAGTCCATCAAAATGATGAAAAACCATATGTGCAGTTTTAAAAAGTCAGTGAGAATCATAAAAAAACAGTTTATGAAATTTTGAAAAAACATTTTGCTCTGAACTTTTAAGTCTCAAGTTGCAGCAGGTTTATTATAAAGTTTGACTCTCTGGTATTTTCCTCTGAGAAAACCGAGAACTGTTTATCAGGTAGCAAGAGGGGAAATAGACTTTCAATTAGGGAGCTGTCACGTTTTTGTTTCCAGAAGAGGAGCTTGTTTTTGCTTAAAGCAGCTTGTTATTGCCTCTTCAAACTTCTTTCTCTCCTTTTCCTCCCTGTTCCCTTCATTCCTTCCCACCTTCCTTCCTCCCCTTTCTCCCCCTCTCTCCTGCAGTATGTTCCTCCAGACCTGTGTATTTGTAACTTTGTGCTGGAGCAGTCCCTGTCCGTGCGGGCCCTGCAGGAGATGCTGGCTAAGACTGGGCAGAACAGCGAAGGGGTGAGTGCCTGCCTCCCTCCCACTGATACACCCCCCCTTCACATCTCTCTGTCTTGTTCACACAAACACATTCAAACACTTGCACACACACAGTGCAGCGCAAACATCTGAGATCCAGCACAAGTACACACAAGGTCCCCTCTATTTCTATGATTTTTAGATGTTCTATGATCTACGATGAGTAGGATGGAACTATGATACTTTCAGATGTTGGTTACAAAAAGCTGAAGAGGTATTTATGGCATTTGCTGAGTTAACTTGAAAGTCACAGGACTGGAAGAACAAATGCACTGAATCTATCTGAAGCAGCTTCTCAGTTCAAGAAGTGAAAACTGACCTGTCTGGAAATATTCATACTCATTTTTGGAGCCAGAAAAATCAAGGACGAGATGCTCACAGTAACTTTCATGTACCTGCTGGCTCTGATCTAGTCTCTGGCTCTTGGTCATGTTGGATGTCCCACTTTCCCAACTTGGAGAAAGAACATTCGAAGTACACATGAAAGAGCCATGAGACTGCAAAAATAGAATTTTCAAGTCAAAAAGTTTGAATTTAAAGACTAAAATATCAGATTTTTTTTTTGTTAGGCTTTTCATCACTTTGCAGATTTTGAAGTGGCCCAGTTTGAGGTCACCTCTGACAAGACAAATTCAAACTGTGTAAAAAGACACATTACATTTATACACATTCCATGAATGAAATAGGAGGAGGAAAAAGAACAATCTTATTATATTATTTATTGCCTCCACCTTTCATTAAAATAACTTTACAGATGATCTTTTCACAAATTAATTATACATTAATTAATACCCATCATCATCAACATAAGTATTACTCAACAAGTTCATATTCTTTTATTAGTTTTGAATAACACTTGAGCAACATCATCGAGATAATTCCACAGTTTTGCTCCATAAACAGAAATACACATCTGGTTTAATGTGGTGTGAACATCTGGACTTTTAAATTCTACTTCTTCGATTTGTGATAATGTTGTTGGATTCATTGCAGTAGCATTCAGGGCAAGCACACACCTTGTTATACCCAGGACACCAAGAACTGTTATTGAATTCTAAGTAGAAGCAGTTTCTTTTCATTCTCTGTAACAAGTTTCTGTTTTGCAAGAAAGGAGATCAGAGGGCTCTGATAATGAAAGGCTGTTGGTGGTCAAAGAAAGGGGAGAAATTATCTTCAAGTGCTCTTTTCATCTGTAGCCTCCTCTTTCTTCATCCTGCAATCTCTTGATTTATGCTTAACAGTTTGAGCCCCTTCCTTCCAGCTCCTCTCCAGCTCACAAGGCTTATTTATTAGAGCAGGTAAGTAATCTTTGATCAGGAAGATTCTCTGTAGTGCCACGTTCACGGCAACAGAGCCCTCCGGTAGGCGGCTATACGACTGCTCTGTAAACCCGGATCAGATGCTCACAATCACTCGTGCTGCTGTTCTCTCACAGTAATGTGTCATTTAATCTCATCACCATACAGAGCCAAAGAGAGAGGTCAATAGACTGTGTTTCCTCCTCATATGTTTTGGGAAAAACAAAGAGAAAACAGTGCTCGATTCTTAAATATACCCTGGGATTAAATTTGAAAGTACGAACCACCACATAGCAGAAATCGCTTCTTAGTAGCGTCATTTTTTTTCATCGCTGTTCCTCTTGGATACACATGGTCTGTGTTTACTTTGAGAGCATTGAGAGTTATTAGCGAATACTTCAGAGAGACCAGTGGTATTCTTGGAACAGAGTTGACGAAGCTGTAGTCGCATGAATCACTGTGCAGTACAGATGTAGCTACAGGAGAAACTCCAGCACACTGCATTACAATGCTGTTTGCAAGATGAACTGAGTAAGGAAAAAAAAACAAAAACATGAATACAAGATAACCCAAATCGTGTGCTGTACCGGGTTGCTCCAACTACCGCTGTACTTCAATGCACAACATCGCCCTCTGGCACAGATGGTTCTTTAAGTGTCTTATTTTGTAAACCGCTTGGGTCCTCTCCACTGGAGAATCAGGCCCTGCATTGTTATTAGCCCTGGTAGCAGATTTGTCTTGTGCTCAATGGTGCAACATTGTTGGCTGGCCTTGGTTGGCAGGACAACATCATGTTGGCTAGAATACAAACTCACTGGTAGCAAGGTTAATAAATTACCCTCCTCTTCCTCTCTGCAGTAAAGGGCCCATTACGCTCTCTTGTTGCTATCAGATGTGTGTAATTGACTGACATACATCCCAATAACACATTCTTTTTGTTTGTATTTGTGTGTTGCTAGAGTGCCGACCATGAAAAATGGGTAGGTCCATCAGTTCACTCATCCATCATGTTGTCAGTGTGCATGACGGAAGTACTACTGACAGCCCAGCGGAGGGTTTTAACATTCGGCACTTTCACTTGAAGCGACGCCTATTTCTCGATTGTCATAAAAGCCGCAATCAGAGCTTGTACGGCCTTTAGTTTTAAGTGTACGACAGGCACTGCATTGGAGAGAGTTATTTCTCTAATAGCAATACAATTAAAACTTTCCATCTCACCGCATATTGTGCCAAATGAGGTTAAAAGGCATTTATTTCTGTCAGACTCCCTCAGATTAGTAAATTAAGTTTTTACCTCACACCAATAGCTCTACATATTCTCTTTCCCTCAGCTAGTCTGGGGACACTCTCGATACTCACTTTAAGTTATGACAAACTTGAAATAGACATCCATTGGTGCTGTCCCCTTGTGCACATGAAGTCAAATGTTTTGCCTGTCCTCTTTGAAGACTACTTTGTATGCAAGTGTCCAAGCATTTTCGAGTGATGCTGTCTGCTTCTTATCTGCTTTTTCAGAGCATTCACTATCCTTTTTTTTTGCTTTCAATGCAATAAAATACAAGCCTTAAAAAACTGCTTAAAATGTTTGTGCTGTAAAAACAAATGCATAGAATCACACATACAGGTGACAAATTAAAGGAAGAAAATGTGAATAAATGAAAAGAAACCTGATGAATGCAGTTGTCTTCACACAGATAAATAAAGAAATGTATTACTGGAATCCTTGAATAGAACAGAGTCACTGTTTTCAGAAACATCTGTTCAGACCTGGTGTTAACATCCATCCTGAGAGATCCGATCACAAGTGGAAGCTATGTCAGTTCACACCTGGCATTAGAATGCGTCCTCACTTCTCTGCTCAAAATTCAAATATACACGTACACAAAGGACGGCCTTGTTTCACCTTTAATTTATCACCTGTCTGCAAATATTCTCATACAATATTACTTACCAAAGGTCGTCATGAGCTCTCACAATGAATCTCATTTACTGAATCTAAATGAAAGGCATCTGGAAACCCACACATTGGCATAAAACTCACTTTGTGGTTTGAATGTGTTGCTCTGTTTTCTCTGGGTTTGGTCTCTAACAACAGTTAATCTTCAGGTTAGTGACACGAGGAGTGTCCACGTGCACTATATAGCGTTGAGCAAAGCTGTTGGAGGATGATATCTTTGCCTAATATGACTCAAGGCAACACACAAGACTGCATCCCCCCTCCCCATCTGTGACTTAAATGTTTCTTTTACAGTCGGTATTTAAATGTCTGCAATTGTCACACATCATGAGTAAAGAAAATGTGCTCTGTACCATTATCCAGATGATTTGAAAGACAGGGCATCGAGTATGTGTACATGAGAATCAATATATCAGATGGTACTTAGCAAATGAGTCTAGAAATCTTTTCCTAATGGCCTCATGGAACTGATTAGTGGGCTATTTTTCCACGTACTTGCCCCTCCATATAAGATAAGCTGCGGAAATGAAGTGAACGTTTAGCGAACTTACTTTGTCGTGGTTTGATGTAATGGCTCTGGCAACGACCAAGCAGACACGGCAGATTCCTGTAAAGCCAAGCAGGCACAAAAATGATTGGTGTATAGAAGTGATTAAAACATAAGCCACCAAAATCATTCATGTGTTTGGAACTGTTGGATTTTCTTTTACAGGCTCATTTCAATTATGCTAAAGATATTAACAGAACTGAGGCCACGGGGGAGGATAAGAATTCATTTGGACAGGTTGTGATGACTGGATTTTTGTTTTACCCCCTTAAAAAACGAATAAAACCACCATTAGTTGCAACAATATGTGTCAGAAATCTGAGTTATAACTTAAATATGTCTAATCTGAACTCACAGAGAGGACACAAACAATGTTATATTCCACTAAACGTCAATAAACCCACTTAAATATCCCAATAAAGACGCTACTTATAACTGCAGAACTTGCCTGAGAATCGAAGCGTTTTTAAGTTTTCTTCAGGAATACAGTAATCCAGTGATAGTTGTCAGTACATCCATGTGTTCACAGTAAAGAGAAACCACTACGGGAGAATTCGGCGCTATTATTTATCCAAAATGTGAAACTAATACGCCATAAATCATTCTGACATGAGACACTCAGCTATCACGCTACTAATTACGTTTGAAGAACTTGCCTGAGAATCGTCGCGTTTTTAAGTTGTCTTCTGTAACACAGTACTCCAGAGATAGTTGTCAGTACATCCATGGGTTCACAGCAAAGACAAAACACTACTGGTGAATTCGGCGTAGTTAATTTGCCAAAATGTAAAAAAAAAAAAAAAACGCCATTAAACTTAATGTGTTTAGCTGCCAGCGTAACCAACCTCATCCATATTACACTTCCGGTTTTTGTTTATACGGGTAAGTAAATAATTATAACATTGATTAAATAATATAACTGGTATTTTAATCAATTAAAAATTGTTCTATATTAATTAAATACCAATAAACAAAAACAGGAAGTATGATGGGCCATGGACTTTCGTGGGGAGTGGGAGGGTTCTAATCCTCACCGCTGATTGGGTTACAGCCTGTCAATCAAATGTTGGCCGCGCTGTTCGGTGCCCAGCAGGTGGCGGTACGTGCGTCGTGAAGTCGTAAATGGCCCCGCCAGGTCACCGAGAGAAGAAGACGGTGGCTCTCTTTAGCGCCTGTAGAGAAGAAGAGAAAGTTTGAGAGTCTGGAAACTTTTCAACAGGTAAAAATAAACTTTAAATGAAACTCTCAGCGAGTCACTGAGGTACGAGATGCTGAGGTCACACGTGGGAGGCTAACCGTTAGCTTCAGTGCTACAAAACACAAACCATTTAAAACAACAGGTGAACTCCACAGTTTGTTGTTTTGATGACTGAAAATCCTTTAAATGACGTTTATGAACGCTGCTTCTTCACTGTGCTCACATAATGTATAACCAATACATGGATATATACTGAAAACTGTTATTATACTGATATAGAACACACACATACTGTGATACATTAAAGTGAGTGTTTTATTGTGTAGCCTGAGGTTCTCAGAGTTGGACTTGAAGCTGAAGGTGTGTTGAAGCTGTAATGTTTTTACTGCTAAACCTAAACTATCACCATAGTTTTAATGGGCTCTGCATCTCTCTACGTCTCCAGCTGTGTGTACAGAAATACAAGACTTGAAGCAGACACGTCACCTTGAGTTACTTTCCTTTGGAGATAATTTAATGCTCAAGGCCACTTTCGAGACAGTTTGCTTACATTGGGATCAGTCAAAGCAGAAACTGTATTATTTAGCTAAATGTGCATAAACTAGCAACTTATTGTAGCTTCCACCCATTATTGAATAATCCTAATTATGTGGGAAAAATATCCTGCCCCCTGGTGGTCTACTTTTAAAAATATATACCTAACCTCAAATAAACAACTCAAGGATACCAGGAGCTGTATTAGATGTACTCGTAGTAATGCAAAATAGTATATTTTATTGACTCTACTCTGTTTAATGTCAGACCTCACGATGTGTGCTGGAATGCTGGTAAAGGGTTTAAAGTCGACTGTTTCCAATGGCACATGATTCATTTTGGTGTCTAGCTGTGACGAATCAGGAAATGTTGACTAATGAGCCTGTTGGATTTAAAACAAAATATGCACAAGGACATATTTGCACAAGGTTCTCTGTGTCTGTCTTTTTAACACAATCTCCAAGCTCTGTAGGACACAGTCTGCACAACGGCAGGAGCAACAAACCAAAGGTCACAGTTCCTGACAGTGATGTGTCAGCATGAGCGCAGGCCTGAAATACAGGCTGGCTCTCTCTCTCTCTCTCTCTNCCCCCCCCCCCCCCCTCACTCCCAGCTGCTGCAGGATACTATTCCCATTTTTCTTTTGATTGAACGCTCAGTTTCCTTTTTTGTCTCTCTTATGTACACGCCATCTGGGAGAGAGAGAATTAGCTTAGAGTCATATTAAAGGGACAAGTGGGAATTCCATTTTGGTTAGTTGAATGTGACCCGACAAGCAAACACACAAATTAACACTGACAACTGTGCTACAAATAGGATATCGTCCATGTGTTGCTTTATGGATAAACACTGCACAGTGGTTAGCACTGTCCTTGTCTCGGGCTTTATTGCAGCTGTTTCTGTCAGAAGGTCGAATTTAGTTTGATATCAGGTAAACTGGAAACTCCAAATTAACTGTAGGCGACTGTTTATAGCCCATTAAGATAATAAAAAACATAGCAAGTGGAAAATGCAAAATCATTTATGGGCAACAGTATCAGGTTTGTGACTATTACGCTGCTGTTTTATTGTATCGTTTTTAACGTGAAATAAATTGAGATGAATAAAACCAAACGGAAAGTGTGTGCTGTAACGGTGAAGGTCTGGATGTCAGTGGTTATGGTATCCTTTCTTTTTTCCTTCTGCTGCTGCTAGAGGTTGATTAAACGGGTAAGTCAAATTTTCTTTATTCTTCCTCAGTCCTGAAGAAAAAGAACTCCTCTTCATTCTTGGTTGATCAACAACAACTTTCTCACATTTCCTCGGGCATTTTGCAACCGTACCTCACATTTATTCTTGTTTGTCACAAGAATGGGCAAGCTGTCTGATGAGTGTGGCCCTGTACGAGTTTGTGTTTGTTGGTTTGTTGGTTTGTTTGACTGTGAATGTAGTTTTTATTCATGTCTCCCACCCTCTTTTTTGTGTCTGTTGTATCCTTGCACTTGGAATGGTGATCCGAAATTAAACATACTTAATCCATTCAGCTCCGTGCCATGAACCTGATCTGGTGTGAAGGTGAAGGATGGACGTGATAATAAGCTATTATCTGTTTATTTCCTGGCAGGCAGGTCAGGGGGGCGGACACCGGACCCTGCTCTACGGCCATGCCATCCTCCTTCGCCACTCCTTCAGTGGTATGGTGAGTATCAACACGGTGGTGACACAAAATGACACAAGGAACTCATGATTATTTTCATATTACTGCTTCACTGAACACTCGTTTATGTTTCACTCACCAGTACTTGACCTGTTTGAAGACGTCAAGGTCTCAGACGGACAAGCTGTCGTTCGATGTCGGACTACAAGAAGATTCAATAGGTACAGTTTAAGAAACAGGCACTTTACAGGGCTCACATGGCTTTTAGCTGTTTCTAATTGAATTCAGTCTCCTTGAATAGTCGTTTCCAGTCAACCTAACTTTGAGATGAAATCTATACCCTTGGGAAAAATACTGTAACAGTGTGTTTGCTTTGTGTGTGCAGCAATTCTACATTTGACATTTGAACTACAGGACATTTATCCATCACTACTCCTCCAGTCTTTCTCAGATGATGGATGTTTTTGCCCTTTAACACTTTAACGACAGAGAAGATGCAGGATTATCTAAAATGACGTTTATTATTGTGTTGGACGGTTGGTTGTGATTAAATGCTGTTTTCCTCTTTTATCGGTATCTTCATGTGTTTGTGTCAATAGGAGAGGCCTGCTGGTGGACCATCCACCCTGCGTCCAAGCAGAGATCCGAGGGAGAGAAAGTCCGCATCGGAGACGACCTGATTCTTGTCAGCGTGTCAACAGAGAGATACCTGGTAGGTCACGTCCAAGCGCTTCTGATTGCAGTGCCCTTTTAAACTGTCATGTATCTGAGGAGAATATTTGGGTTGAGGCGTTCAGGGTCAAATAAAAAAATGTTTTACTTTATGTATTTAATCAGATCAACAAATACAGTGACTAAAAGAAGAAGAGATAATTCCCACTGTTAATCATAAATATGTCCTTCTCTATAATAGATACAAGAAAAGCTTATGAATATATGATATAATTAAGCTTTATCGAGAATTGAGAATAAAGCTGTTAATAGTGATTATTTCCAGCATAAAATGAGGAACATTTACTCTGCTTGAAAGTGAATCATTAACATAATGCTTCTTCAAAAAGTTGGTGGCGGTAATATCAACAGGGAAGCCTCTGTCTTAAACTCAGCATTACAGCACAGAAACAAGATGCTGGATTAATTACAGCTCAAATAATTCCCATGAAATCAGCAGGCCTGTGTTCAGTCGCTTTCTTCCAGATAAAGGTTTTTCCCTCATTATTATTTCCTGCTCTGTGTTTCAGACAGTCTTAATACATCACATACCGCCTCTTGTTTTTGTCTCATCTCTCATTTCCCTTTCTCTGGTTCCCTTTGTTTTTGTCTCTGCCAACTGTTTTCATGTCAGAATAAAATTGTCTGCCTCTAAACTAGGAAATGGATTTCACAATGTAAGAAGAGATATTTCACCTATCTGCTTTGGTTCACCGCCTGCCTCAAAAGGGCACTTTAGAAAGTTTCATAGCTGTCGGATAGCTCTGATGCCCCTTCTCCTTCCAGCCGACTTCAGAGTGACAAGGCAATTCAAGGGGAAAGTTTCAAACTTTTCACGGCTATCTTTAATGGAAATGTGATTACCTGTAAAGCCCTCCTCTGCAGAATCTTTTTCAAAAATGATTTTAAGGGAAGGCATCCTTCTGACTGATTAGAATTAATGCTGACTCCTTTATGCAGAGCTTTACACCCGGCCTCAATTAACTTACTTGGTAAAGAAAGAGTGGGGAGGGATTTCAAGAGGGAGATGGAGAGACAGAGAAATGGCAGAAAGGAAGAACAGACATAGGAGGAGTGAGGAGCGCTGGCTTCTAGCGGCTGCCCCGGCCCTTCAGGGAGGGAAATGTCCAATTAAAGCAAAACTGGCAAAGGGCCAGACTTAGTCCTCCTCCGATGGGAAATTTCACCTGATTTGCCCCTGACAGAGACTCACCATTTGAAGAATGGGACGCATACGTTCAGGAAAATCCGTGCTCCATTACTATGAACAATCGAGAGTTTGTGATGCAGTCTTTACGGGACATAAGCGTTTATGACTTTGTGACTTTCAGCCCAGTGAGGCTGAACTGTTTCAGCAGTTTACCCACGTCATTCAAGTCTGGTACCTCAACGTGAGGACAATTAAAAAGAAACGTGTAAGGCTGATCTAGTGCACAAAATAATCCACGCAATGGTTTTCCCATGTTTTCATGCACAACACACCAGGACAGATGAATAAAACAACACGTGGATGGTTGTAGTTTTAGCTCTCATGAGGATATACCAGGATCATTTTGAGCCAGTAGTTGATTCTGAATTTTGTCTGAAGGGAAACTGGAGCCGCTCCAAGTCATTCCTGGAAGGAATTATTGTAATTAACTGGACTTTGCTGCAAAGAGAAACACTGAAGCAGCAGTGGTTTTTTAAATCCACAGTGACACAACACTGCGGCTCCAGAGGAGGTTTAATCTCTTTTTAAATTCCCAACTCTGGGACAACACTCTCTCCTCTGTGCAGAATTCTCAATGTTTCCCCGTTGTGAAATAAAACGGCTTTACTGACAGTCTCCACCCTTGTGTCTTGAGTCCTGTCTAACCTGCTTCTCTCTTGCAGCACCTCTCTATCTCCAATGGCAACATCCAGGTGGATGCCTCCTTCATGCAAACTCTGTGGAACATCCAACCCACCTGCTCTTCAAGCAACGTGGCTGTAGGCAAGTTCATGACAATGGCAGTGAAAGCAGCATCTGCCACAACAACTATCTCTTTACATTTAAATACATTTTTTGGAATAATATGACTTTCTTATTTATCTCATATTCCTATTTCGTTTTTGTCCCGTTAGGGTATTTGACTGGTGGACATGTGATGCGTCTTTGTCACGGACATGATGAAAGCTTGACCATCCCTGGAGCAGACAAGAACGAGGAGGAGCAGAGGTTAGTGAATAATTGCTGAAGCTCAGGTGTTCAACTAAATTTAGCTCTTAACTCGTTTTGCAACGACAGAGTCACAAGTATTCGAGGGGGATGATAAATGAGAAACACTTCTCTGCTGCAACTGTCACGGCCCAAGTGCTGTTCAAGTGCTGATTAAGGTACTTGTAAGAGTAAAACTGCATATTGGCAAAAATATGAAGCTCATAGCTCCTTTGTATGAATGCATTTAACAGTGTGAGGAGACGTAGTGCTATTATTCGATTTTCAAAAGGTCTATTAAGTGTCTCCCTCTGGTTGAAAGGTTATTCAGACAGGTTTTTAAGTTTTCTGTTCTGCTTTAAGATTGGGGGGAAAAAAATGTTCTGGGTGTGTTTTGGACAAGAATTAAACTTCTCCAGTCGACAAGACAATTAGCTATAAAACTAAATCTTTACCAAATTGTTGTGAGGCTGAATCAACACTATCGATATTCCCTGTGCCATGAGTGCAGCGGGAGCAGGAACTCCTCAAATTATTTTATTCCCACTGTGATTTGAAAGATTCAGGAATAACAGGAAACCCCCCCGACCTGTCACTTTGCTTCCAGGATAGTCAACTATGAGGCGGGTAAGGGAGCGTCAAGGGCCCGCTCACTGTGGAGACTGGAGCCTCTGAGGATCAGGTGAGATCAGATGCAAAACCATACACACAAAACACACAAATCATACAAAACAATCTACAACCCTGGCATAGATTTCTCACAGAACTGAATTGGATCTGTAAATGAAAAACACAGGTTTGTTTCTTTTAAGTATGTCACAGCTACTGTCGTGTAGGTTTTTATACAAACCTCTCCTCCCTCTATTCTGAGCTGTCCCCGCCAATTAGTCAGCAGAGTCCTGCAGAAAGTGAGGGTCTGTTTACTGTCCCTTTCAATCTACGTCTCCCTCTGTGTCTATCACCGTCCCTCTTCTTCCTCTCCTTCCTTTTTTATTAACTGGTCTCCCACGCAGTCTCCCCCCCACCCCCCTCTGCACCCTGCCTGTCACAGTCTGTCTGAACACCTCCAAACGGCGCAGGTGTATCTATTAAGGCAGATTTTCTCCTATTCTCCAGAGGGAGGAATTTTAAACAGTGTTTTCTGCACTGCGTCACACGTGCACAGAAACCTAAACTGCACTGACAGTCTGAGAGCAGTTATGTCGGCTGGTTACCTGATATACAAGAGAACATGTTATTTGGCCATTAATTAAACTACACAGCCCTCAGGCAAGGGCTGGATACTGTGTAATATAATAAGAATAAATATAGTAAATAAAGTGGAGATGAAAATTGTTTAATATATTATGAGAAGAATTATAATCCATTGTTAAAAAGTATTTGTATCTCATTTTATATCAAAATGTATGCTAATTAATCTGAATTAATTAATTTCTGATCAAGTAAGCAAGAATAAAAACTTGGCAAGACATTTGATGCCAGATTTTAAGCGTTTATCCGGATACCTGGCCGTGTTCCCTAGCAGCTCTTTCTCAGAGTTTGTAGTGTTACACAACCGGTGTTGTAAGAGTATGACAACAGTTCTCTGTGTCCAGCTGGAGCGGTAGCCACATTCGGTGGGGCCAGGCCTTCAGACTACGTCACCTCTCCACTGGCCATTACCTGGCTCTGACCGAGGACCGTGGACTGGTCCTGCAAGACAGGGTGAAGTCCGATACCAAGTCCACTGCGTTCTGCTTCAGGGCTTCCAAGGTCAGTGCCCCCCATTCCTGAACCAACCAATAGTTCAATTATTGTATTTTTACCACCAGCTTTACGAAATCATCAAGAAAGGCAGCTCTACCATCTAAATAGTGGTCTGGGTGTTAATGTTAATATAAGGTCTTAGTCAGCCCACCTCATTAAAATAGGATTCAAAATGTCTTGCCCTGTATACTCCATCAAAGACTCCAGAGAAGAGTCTGTAAGCTTTCAATCAGCCCCTGGCTCGCCACAATAAAATGACCTTCTCACAGCTGCTGAGTAGACAGCTGGAGCAAACTTTCTCATTGTCCACTGGCCTTTACAGTGTTGAAGTCATTTTCAGTTATAGGAAGTCAAGTCAAAGTATTATGAGTTTCCCTGTAATGGTGTATTTTCATATTTTCAGAATCCTATTCCTTCATTTGCTTTTTGCTCATTTCTTTCCCTCTATCACCCATCCTTTTTATTCCACTTTTTATTTTGAGCTGGAAGGAAAACATGATTCACTGGGAATCCAAACTGGAAATAGGTGTTTAACTGCTGCTGAGATTCATTGAGTTTATTGGTAAATTGTGCAGTTTCAATACACAAGATGATGGATCACAATTAGATTTTTTTGCTGTCACATTTAATCTAATGACTCGGACCCTGCATCTTCTTTTTATATATTATTTTAAATAAGAGCCTATAATTGGATCTTGAATCCTCATATAATATGCTAATGCCTTAATGTTTACTTTTTTTATGGACGGTAGGCATGATTAATAGTTGATTTACTGTCTGTTGCATAAATGAACCAATGCAATTATTATCCTGTCAGGCTACAGCCACATAAACAGCACAATGGCATGAGTCACCTTCACTGAGCACCATTGTGTCCCTGCACATATCCTGCTATCTGCAGTAGGTAGAGTATAAAATCCTCCTGAGTGCTGTCCACTTCTGGGGCTTTAATTTTCCCGACCCATCCCACGCCTGACAACAAAGTGTAATTGCCCTCAGTAATCTTTACTCCTGAAGGACCAGCGACTCTTTAATGTTATTATCCCCCTGGTGTATAATGCAGGGGGAATATAGCGATCAAGGACGTCGGAAGAATATTCTTGTGATATGTCCGTCCGTAATAATTTAATTTCAGGAGGAAAAATTAAATAAAATAAAAATAAACTCCCTGTTTTAGTTAAAAACTCTCTCCTTCCATCCACAGTGCACACAACCCAGTCAGTTTCTGTATCCACAAAGGTCAATGCTTTGCCATGTTGAACATTCCCGTTAATATGTTCTCCACTACTTCCTGTCAACTACAATCAGCTGCATCGCTCCATCACTGCTGAGCCAGAAGTGTAGCTGGGGTAATGAGGCAAGCGGCTACATCCCTGCAGACCAATGAATGCACTCTCCTCAACCTGCCTCGCTGATTAAAATCTAATCACTATATATCTTCATTTGTCTTTTTCTTTTTTTTTTCACTCCTGTGTGTTTGTTTATTTGCTTCCTTTCTCTTGTGTTTTCATTAATGTGCGTATGTGCATCTCAACGTGACGCTGTAGGAAAAGGGGGACTCGGGCCCGAAGAGGGACATCGAAGGGATGGGTGTTCCAGAGATAAAGTACGGGGACTCTGTTTGCTTCATCATGCACGTGCAGACAGGACTGTGGCTGTCTTACCTGGCACCTGACGCCAAATCGTCTCGCCTAGGACCCCTGAAGAGACGGGTAAATACGAATGAACTCCACTTATAAAAGTCAAATTTTAATAATAAAAATTATTTAGGAGCTTGCATTTACTGAAATATTCACATACACATAAAAAGAGTTTTCCACTCAGCCATCACAAGCAGTATCTTTTTTTAAACCTTTTTTTTAAACCCTTTTAAACACCTGCCCCACCCAGAGAAATGTATATATTTATATTTCCTATAGTACCCATCTACCTCCTCTGGACAGTCTCCTGTCTCTTGACACCTACCTATCCTTTATTAATTTAAATGTGATAATGGGCCTCGTGGAGGGCGACAGTTAGTTTTGGGTGAGACGTTGGGGGATTAGGGCGACAAATGAACGCTGCTCATTGCTGGGCATGCCTCCAAGGACATCGAACGCCACCTCATGCTGGTGCCAGACTGTTCCTGCAGCCTTGGGGATGTGCCAATGCACCTGACATGTTGGAGGTGATACTTAGTCTACACTTAAATCCTCTAGCTGCCCTCCCTCTTTTTGATTATGCTGCCTGATTAGAGTGAGTCAGGTTTCATTGAGCTGTGGTGGTAGACACCCAAGCTGCCGGCCACTCACTCCTCACATTTACCCATAACAAACTTGTGTGGTTCCTTTTGTAATTGTGAAATGTGTGTTTTTGTTCCCTGGTTCAGGCCTGCCTACATTCTGAGGGCCACATGGACGATGGGCTGATCCTGCAGCGCTGTCAGCATGAGGAGTTTCGCGCCGCTCGCATCATCCGCAACACCACATTTCTCTTCGTCAACTTCATCAAGTAATGACAGGGTTACAAAGAACTCATTAATGGTTCCTCGGTCTCAAGTTTTGCAGCGTCTTCCTCTTGATCTTCCTCGTCTTTCTCTCCAGGGCTTTGGACAGCACCGCTAACGGCGAGTCCATGGCGGTGGCTGGGTACGTCGAAGAGGTGCTGCAGACGCTGAACGATCTGATCGAGTACTTCAAACAGCCCGACTTGGAGTTGGAGCATGAGGAGAAACAGTGTCTCCTCCGTTCGCTCATCAAGCGTCAGGACCTCTTCAAAGAGGAGGTGAGAGTGGATGAAGTGGAGGCATCGTGCACGTTGAATTTGAAGTTGCTATATTTCTAGACAGACTAAAAGTAATTCAATAAACTTGGAGCCTGTTGTAGAACATTTAATCTATTTAAATCTTTGTTTCCTACAGTGCCTTCAATTTCTTTAACCAGTTACTAAGATTTCTTAACCATTGCTTTTTTTTTCAGGGAATGCTCGCCCTCTTGTCCAAATGCATTGACAGAATGAACCTGTACAACAGTGCTGCACACTTTGGAGAGATGGCTGGCGAGGAGGCGGGCGCTGCTTGGAAGGACATTCTCAACCTTCTCTATGAGCTCTTGGGTAAGCGGGCCTGAGCTATGGATCACATCAAATATCCACATCTTCTGTCAGCACTCTCAGCTGCTGACCCCGGGCAGATATGTAATATTAATCTTCTTTTAGTGTCTTCACTGAATCCTCCTCCTCTCGTTTCACTTCACACTCTGCACTTCTTATCTCGCCTGTTTTCCTGTCCTCCCTGTTTTGTTTCTCATCCATAAACTTCCTCGGGTCCTCTTGTCCTCTGTCCTTCACAGCTGGGGGCGGTCTTTATGTGACATTTATGTTACGACAGCCATGGTTGACCTTGTGTTTTTTCATTATACAGATTGGGTAAAATCTTTGCCAAATTTCTTTAAATTTCAACTGATTAGATTTTATTTGTCAAAGGCCGAGGTCACAAAATATTTTGGTCATTTTCGAAGACTACAACTTAGGAACAGAAGAGGAGATTGTGACCATATCACCTGCAACTTGACTGCTAGGTGGAGGCCGCGTACTGTATAAAAAGATGGACGACATGGCAGCTCCCAAAAAGTGAAGTCAGTGTGTCTCAGTCACGCCCTGGTTGCCAGCTGCAGTACAGGTCATAAATCCTATCTCTCTCATTTAAGCAGATGAGGCCCTTTACTCATCAAATCCATTTTTCTGTAAGATGGTTTATTTCATTTTAGGTTTTCATTATTTATTTGATTCTAATAAAACAGATTGAAATGTTGTGACTGACAGCTGAGACTGTCTCTTGATTGATTGAGAGTTAATTGGCGATACGTTGATACCGTGGCTCTATCCCCCGATCACTACTGCGCAGAATCCATATTTTTGCCTCATGTCTGGATCGTGAAAGGAAGAGGAGAAGTGACTCAGTCTGTGGTGGAGGTGAACAACCAGGAGGTTGTAATTGTAGTTATTATGTGTGACAAGGTAGTGGAGAGGGAAGCAAAGCCAGAGCACCTCTTGTATCCTTCTCGTACAATCTGCCCTGCCTTGCGTCTTGTTTACACCCTTCTCCGAGAGCAATGTGGACACATTACAAAGCATGCAGCTGACTGTTTGAAGTAATGTTTGCGTCATTACCAAAATGCCAGCCATCAAAGGTGCTGGCATTATCCCGTTCTCTCAGGGCCTGTGTTGAGTCATGAATACTAAAGCTGTGACCCTGAAAAGTTTCATTTCAGACAACTTTTTCTTGGGTAGTTTGTTTTGCTGTCATTGGAGCTCTCCCATCAACAGCTTTCCCTCGGCTCACCTTGGCTGCCCTTATATTCATCATTACCTCCCCAGCATGGACTCCCCACATGCACACACATTACGCTCAAAAGCCACAAATACACTCTTTGGAGCACACGCTCACCTACCCTACAGAGGGGTCACCCCCAAGGATGCAGAGGCAGTTTTTTATGGATCAGGTCATTTAGGAGCGTTGGATAACTGTATTTTATCAGAGATTCATTCAGACAAAAATCAATCAAGACAACGGTCTCGAGTGCAATGATTTCACATCTGTTTCACCTCTAACCTCACCCCTGGGTGTGATTAGACGTCACAAGGTCCTGTAGTAAAACTGTTTATATACATTTTGTAGAAATTGCAGATATTACATCAGCATATTTTTTAAATTTAAATTTGAATGTGAAAAAAAAAGCATGTTTCTGTTAAAAAGTTACATCGTCTATCACATCAGACAATAATGTTCGGATAATTTACAGTCTGTCGTCTCCACAGCATCAGTTTCTCCTCACTGACTTTTTAATTTTACATTCACATCGTTCACGACGAGTGAACACCCTTGCCCTTGTCTTGTGGTGTGGCTCTACCCATGAGTCCGTATTGAGCTCTCCTGAAAGAGCAGAATTAAAAGAGATTAGACGCCCATCAGTATTCCTTTGGCACAAAGTGCTGTTAAATTGTTTCGTGAGCATTATCACTCTAGTGTCTCTGAATTCTAATGGTGACAAATGAGACATTTAAGTATTAAGGATTCTTCTTAATGTCACTGCGATGGAGGGGAAAGGGAACAAGGGGAGCACAGAGCTCCTGACTTCACTGTAGCCTCAGAGCTTTTCATTAAAAAAATGTCGGGTGGTTCCAGAGATTTAATGAGTTTTAATATTCACCTGTAGGCCGATGTCCGACCATGACTCTATGTTCACAGGAAAAATGATGGACTATTTTTCATTTAAAGTGTTTGCAACATCCCTTCTTCTACCTGTCAGCTCCCTGGATCTACATCTTCACCTTTAACCGTATCATTCATGTCACAGCTGAGCATCGTTTGCTTTTTCTTTAAACCTTGTTAAAACGTTATCCTTTGTGCAGCCTCACTGATTCGCGGGAACAGAAACAACTGCACCCAGTTTTCCCGCAACTTGGACTGGTTGGTCAGCAAACTGGAGAGACTGGAATCTTCATCAGGTAACAAAGAAAAGAGGGATTTCTGATCTTCTGTCAATAGCGCGTCAGATAATTGCTCGGAGATTACTTTACATTTGTTCTGATATTAAATATTTTGGGTGACCTGTTAGGGATCCTGGAAGTCCTCCACTGCATCTTGGTAGAAAGCCCAGAGGCTCTGAACATCATCCAGAGAGGGCACATTAAATCCATCATCTCTTTGCTCTACAAGCATGGACGCAACCACAAGGTGTGTAGATATACGAGCACAAACTGCAGCTTAAGCATTTCCATGTTGGGGTTTCAGACTAATGATAAACAACAAAAATGTCTGACACACTTTTTTATCTCGTCCTCCTCTTCTCTCTCTCTCAGATTCTCGATGTGTTGTGCTCACTCTGTGTTTGTAATGGGGTGGCAGTGAGAGCCAATCAGAATCTGATCTGTGACAACCTTCTCCCCAAAAGGGACCTGCTTCTTCAGACCCGACTGGTCAACGATGTTCAGAGGTAAAGAAACAGGAAATTGTTGATTTCTCTTGATGATTTCATGCATTGAAATATGTAAGAATATCCAGCTGTTGATTTTTTGAATGGACTAAATATGAGGCCTCTATTAGGCTTTAAATAAAAAAATACTTTCTTTCACCTCCAGCATGAGACCAAATATCTTCCTGGGCATGGCGGAAGGTTCGGCTCAGTACAAGAAGTGGTATTTCGAGCTGGTGATCGACCAGGTGGACCACTTTGTCACCGGTGAGCCGACCCACCTGAGGGTGGGCTGGGCCAACACTAAGGGCTACGCTCCGTATCCCGGTGGAGGAGAGGGATGGGGGGGCAACGGTGTCGGGGACGATCTGTACTCCTACAGCTTTGATGGACTTCACCTGTGGTCAGGTAGGCATCTCCGCTTATTGATTCACTGCAGGCTGATCTTATAATCGAGCGGTTGTGATTGGAATGTTTTTCTTTGGTTTTGATATATTAAAGGCACTAATTACATAAGTGGTGAAGTCCTTCGATGACTTATGCCAGAATATTTTTAGTTGTTTGCTATTTTTAGCATTTTGTTCTCTGCTTTCACCTTAAAAGCACAGCACCTATTTTATCTCTCACCTTTCTGTATCTCTTAAAGGACCCATCACCTCCCCTCATCTGTTTCACTCCTTTTAAAGCACTCCTCACTCATCTCTGCTCCCCTCTTTTCTCCTCGCTCCACCATCCTGGCCTACATTCGCAATAACTTTGCTGTAGCTGTAACATCCGTCCGTCCTCCCCTCTTGTGTTTCTGCCCGGCGTTGTCTAGGTCGAATCCCCAGGGCCGTGGCCTCCATCAACCAGCACCTGCTGAACTCTGACGACGTGGTCAGCTGCTGTCTGGATTTGGGCGCTCCCAGCATGTCCTTCAGGATCAACGGGCAGCCCGTCCAGGGCATGTTCGAGGACTTCAATACAGATGGATTGTTCTTCCCTGTCGTCAGCTTCTCCGCAGGTGTCAAGTAAGGTTCTGCATTTATAATTGAGAGATGAAGAAGCTATGTCAGATTCATTAAATTTTTTTTGCTGTGGATGCTTTTATACTAGAGATGCAATTACAGTTTGCCTTTGTAGGTTTAGATATCAAGTAGTGATTTATTGTTAAATTAAGACGTTACTGAATTGACCTCAAGTCAGTGATTATCAGCTTCCTCCATCTCATTCTAATTTTAAAAAGATTAATATTATCTATGAGACAGGACAAAATGATTTTGTTACACAAAGCTTGATGTCAGCATAAGAAGGTAGATAATCCCTGTCTTTGGGTGACTTTACTGCAGCACTGGTATTATATAATGACACAGTGCTGTTCAAATGATGTTTGACTCCTGGTATTTAAAGTTTTTTTTAGAGAAAGAAGCTCTTTAAATACCCACGGTGAAGTTAGAAGTCAGAATATAATTATGCAACATGACACATCATATATTACTTCTCATCTCAGGGTTCGCTTTCTCTTGGGCGGACGGCATGGAGATTTCAAGTTCCTGCCGCCTGCTGGTTACTCTCCGTGCTACGAGGCGCTGTTGCCCAAAGAGAAGATGCACGTGGAGCCTGTGAAGGAGTACAAGAGAGACCACGAGGGGATCCGCGATCTGCTGGGAACCACCAAGTTCCTCTCTCAGGCCTCCTTCATCCCCACTCCTGTCGACACCACCCAGGTGATTGGAGATTAAGAGATTCAAGATTAAATGCAGGATACAGCCAAGGAAACTGAATCTAGATAACAGACGAACTAAAGAAACGTAAATGTATAGTTGAATGTACAGTAATTATAACAATTGTAATAAATCGTACTGTAAAGTAAGATACGTTTTTTGGTTGGTTTGCTCTAAAAGGCTTCCTCGATAAATGTAAACCCATCATATGGTGATACAAATGTCTTTTAGTCAATAATAAAAGATATTGTTGACGATAATAGAACAAACATTTTTGTCAATTATTTAAAATTGAAATAATAATTGACCTTGAACTGAAAATACCATACAATACGTTTTGTCTTTTAGTGTAGATACTACATTCACATGTGTTACATTTGGTTATCATACTCATACTGTGCTGCAGGGGCCATTAAGCACAATAGGTGCAGACTTACTGCATCAGTAGCAAACCCAAAATAATTGTACACCCCCCCAGGAATATTAACAATTGCGTAGTCAGGAGAGAAACAGTTCTCATTTGATGGCCCACTGGCATTTGTTATCATCCAACTGTACCATCTGTTTCCCCCCTGCAGGTTGTTCTTCCCCCTCACCTGGACAACGTCCGAGACAAGCTGGCCGAAAACATCCACGAGCTGTGGGGGATGAACAAGATTGAACTGGGCTGGACCTACGGCAAGGTAAACCTGCAATTCATCCTCATGCTTAATACACAGAGTGTATCACACTGGGTGTGTTGAGAAACGGTGAGTGAGGTCACCTGCAGCCTGGTCCAGTGAAATGCAGTCAGTCAGTTTGATGACCTATGACCCAACGCTGCTTCACGACTTCATGTTTTGATATTGTTCTGATTGAGGGACCCCCAAATACTGAATAAACAAAACCTCCAAAGTGGCTCATTTAGGGTGTGAACAGTTATGACTGTCGAATCTATAATTCTATAATTATTACGATTCTATGTCAGATGAAAAAAAAAAGAGAATCCAATGGACTGTTGACTTTTCTCATTTTCCACACAGTGAGGGACGCAGCACTGACAGTCGTCTAAAATCCCACCATGCAGCTCCTCGTCTTTACTTCTTCATATTTTGTTCGACGCCGTAAAGATGAGAAGATGCTTATTTTTTAATTAGATGCTCAGACATGTAGCCCAGGGTCAGGATGTTAAAATGCAGTTTAAATCCCTTACATCGAAAGATAATTTAATTCCTCCTGTCTCCACTCTCTCCCCGAGTCTCCTTGTCAGTCACTCCTCCTGTTCACTGCAGAGCAGACTGTTAAAAGTCTGATCACACACACACATCCTCTTTTATGCTGTTGTGGTTATCACTGAATCGTTTTCCACTGAGGCCGTCGCCACAGCGACCGTTTAACAGGCCTAATGAGTCCTCCAAGATTATGACATCCACATTAATTAACAAAAGGGGGAAAGTTCCATGACCCGGGTCTGATAGTTTATTATGAGCAATGTTTAGCTCCAAACAGATGCTTAGTGTTTAATTTTGGGCTCAAAGTGACATTGTACTGAAGCCTCTAGTAGTAGACACTTGGCAGACAGGATGATAATTAAGTCAGATATGTCTTCATTGGTTTTTTATCTGAGTGCTTGGCCTTACAATATATTGCCCATACCTTTTGTGCACCTCAGATTTATTTAACCTCTTTCCACAGCAGATAGTGTATTATCAGAGTAGCTTCTTGTTAAGTACAGCAGTATATTTCACCGTGACTCTCTTCTCTCCGTTACTTTCTGCATATCGAGCCACATTTAATCATATCTGTCATTTATCGGGCGTGTCTGCGTTTAAATCGATAACCGCTACGGTCAGCTAAGCTTATGAGAGAAAAAGTACAATCCGGTTGTTGTGAGATGAAGCGTGTGGTAACAACACCGACTGCTGTCTCTTCAGGTTCGTGACGACAACAAGAGGCAGCACCCTTGCCTCGTGGATTTCACCAAGCTGCCTGAAACTGAAAGGAACTACAACTTGCAGATGTCTAGTGAAACACTTAAGTGAGTACGGTCGAGCAGTTTGCTTAATAAACCAATTACCACTTCATGGAGTTTGCAGCCACTCCCTGCTGACGGCTGCACAACAACAGATTAAGGCTACAGTTAAAGCAGAGCTTGCAGTGACTTGCGTCTTCTCAGCAAAGTCCAGTATTAATTTTTTAGAAATATTTGGTCCAAAGCTTATTAAAGCCAACTATTGAGTCACCTCACTGTAAAACATATTGGTTTGGCTCAATAAAGCAACTTCCTGTAAGGGTGAGTCAGTCTGGTTTGGCGTTTGTTAATCACTTACTTTGAACCATGAATCCACCCGGCCAAGGCTGGCTGCTGTTCGGAGTGTTAGCGCATCGATTGACTGAGATTTATCAGTGTCTAATGAGCTTTGTTCAAAAAATGTGGGAGTCTCTCAATGGATTTTGCTGGTGTAAGGCTGAAACAAAGTCTAATGAGGTCAGAGTATCCTCTCAGTTATGTCTTTACCTCTGTTTCTGTTTCACTTTTCTTTTTGGTCCTCAGGACCCTGTTGGCACTGGGATGCCATGTTGCCCAGGTCAATGTGAACGCTGAGGATGATCTGAAGAAAATCAAACTACCCAAAGAGTAAGAGATCTCGCTTTAAGTTTGTATTAACTTGGTAAAGTGTTTCTTAAGCTGGTTTCAGACGTGCACTTAACTCTGGACGTCTTTCTGCATGTGAGAACACGAATGTCCGAGTCAGTTGTTGCAGACATTTTCTGGAACTTTTCCTGCCAGCTCCCTGAAAATGTCAGAAAAATTCATAGTGAGAGATTTGGCGAGTTGATGACATTTTTAGCACGCGATGGATGCAAAACTGAAAAATAAGAGCATGTCTCCTTTCTGCGGTCTTCAAATGTGAAAGACAAACTCCAGAGTTCTTGTCTGAAACGATTTCTACGATGCAAAGCCAAACGCAAATGTTGAAATTCACAGAATACATATTGATGTTGTGATGCTGTGCCTTCATCTTTATTCTCTGACGTTGTCTTGTTCCATCATGTAGCTACATGATGTCTAATGGATATAAGCCTGCGCCACTGGACCTCTCTGATGTGAAACTGACTGCAGGTCAGGAGGTTCTAGTTGATAAACTGGCCGAGAATGCGCACAACGTGTGGGCCAAAGACAGAATTAAACAAGGATGGACCTATGGCATCCAGCAGGTAAAAGTTTTTCTCATGGTGCAGGGAACTTGAATTCAATTTTAAAAAGATTGAAAAGAAGTTATGATGGAACGCTGAAAACCTTAGCGAGATTACTTTATCTATACTATCTTTTAATTGCACCTAAATAATTGTCCATATTCTATTAACATATTTTACTTTCTTGTACTGTTCAATTTTCCTTGGGGTCAGGATTTGAAGAGCAGGCGTAATCCTCGCCTGGTTCCTTATGCTTTACTGGACGAACGCACTAAGAAATCTAACAGAGACAGTCTGAGAGAGGCTATCAGGACCGTGGTTGGATATGGATATGACATCGACCCCCCAGACCAGGAGGGTGAGACCCTGTTGACACTGCTGCCTCAAAAAATCCAGTTTTCTCTTGTTTTTGGCTGATATAAATAATGTATAAAGCAGTGTTGTTACCTTTGTCTATTCATTATTCATTGTTATCTGCGAGGATGGCTTCCAGTTAGCATTATGGGAGTGTCGACCCCAACTGAATAGTATAAGCATTATATATTCATTACCAAACCCTTGTAACTCAGTTGATGCAGATATTATTTTCAAGTTTTATACCTGAAAACAAACATAACTTTCCTCACCTTTGCATATTCGGTCAGTCATTGTACAACAGCTTTTGTGTTTTAAAGCCAAATATTTCCCTTTTCCCCTTTTGTCTCCCTGCCTGTAGTCGTCCATGTGTTGGACAATCAGAGCATCGAGACTATTCGCTTCTTCCGCGTGGAGCAGACATACGCAGTGAAGACAGGGAGGTGGTACTTTGAGTTTGAGGCCCTGAGTGGAGGCGATATGAGAGTTGGCTGGGCCAGACCAGGCTGCAGACCTGATGTGGAACTGGGAACGGACAACCAGGCCTTTGTTTTCGACGGATACAGGGTAAACTTGACGCTTTGTAAGATGACTAACAACATGTATGTTTTGGAGCATTGTGTAGTCCAGGAAGTAGTGGATTTAATTTATAAAA